TTCCCTGAGTTTTTCACCTCACACATGCCTGGCACACACTGATTTGCTCAGAAAGTCATCCAGAAAACTTCAGCGTACTTAAAAGCCTGCTTTATTTTATTGCTAATGTTTCTGTACCTCTTTCTGAGGCAAAAATGTCGAGCTGATGTTTGTGGCAAGTAATGTTAAGGTTCTGACTATAGTCTCCAACACAGAAATTAAGTGAATGACACTGTTTTAAACACCCTTTCTCAGCAGTGATTAAAGGACTTTTCTTTATATTTTTAAGGATAATATAAGACAATATAGTTGTGTTCTTGCCCTTTAAGAAAGCAGTACTCAAACAGGGTGTATGCATATTTAGAGTTGTATGTAGCTCAGCATAGTACTTTGGTTATCATTGTTCAATAGCGTTGTTCCGGTAATGAAGCGAAACTTCTGAAGTCCAAAACTGAGATGTAAAATCTGAAATGTGCTCCATAGAAACTGTCTTGGATCAGTGCAGAAAAATCAGAGATACAGATGGGAAGTGAGGCTTTATCAATTTATTTGGCTTTCATTAGAGCTGAATAAATAGTAACACGTGAAACCTAATTCTATCCAATTTCTTTGTTCTGGTAAATTACTACCTACGCCTCTCGCTTTTCTAGTTCCTGTGTTCCTAGAGCAGCAAGTGCTTTTTCCCCTTGGAGCATTTTGTTTAAGCATTTAACCCCTCTCTCCCCCCTCTGCACTCCCCTCAACAATATACAGACATTTCAAAAGCATAGGTTCGAATCAGCTTTGAGTATAACTCCTGCACAAGTTGTCTTTTGTGAGGGGGTTGATGCTTTCAGCATCCTTCACTTTCTCTGTGCTGCTGGTGAAAGGAGGGTGTGTTTTTATTGGTGCAGAACAGCTGTAGCGTGATATAGCACATTAACTTTGCTTTTCGTAATGGCCAGATATTAGTATTTGCACACTGGTTGTTGATGTGTAGGTGAACCACAGGCCTTGTGTACCAGTCCTGAGGGGAATCGACTCTCTGCACCAAAATGCTGGCATTGCTCTGCAAAGACAAGCCATGGACACAGACAAACAATTGCAGAAAATATCCCTAATGTTAAATACAGTATAAAGAATCTGTTTTTCCCCCTCTTATTATTCCTATTGTTTTATTTCCAGCCCTCTTGCTAGTGGCTGCCTTTGTGGCACTTCAGCTGTGATTAGATGGGCGGGCGAGCAGCTTCCTCTAGAGCTGAAGCCAGCTGGGTGAAAAGACTGGCAGAGCCTCAACTCCTCGTCTACCCACTGCCTTCACAGCAGAGTTTATTATCTCCATAGCTCTGTGACATGCCCAGCCTGTGTGAGCCAGGGGTCTCAGAGCACAAGTCAATATTCAGTAGTCAGAGCTTCCTTATTACTGCTCTGTTGCTATGCTTATTTTGATGTAGTCGTAACCTAAAAAACCACCTAATAGCCAAGAGGCTGGGGGGAAGGGAGGAGGAGAGGCAGAGAGAGAGAGGGTCATCCACTTCTAATGCTGGAAACCCTGTGATAATCTGTTCCATGCATTCAAATGAAAATATGACTTCTTGGCAGAGAATAGCATTATAATGTAAAATCCCATATGCTGTTATACAGTATGTTGCAATCTGTTTTACTGCTGCCTCTATTCTAACGAGTGAATACTGCCAATAAAGCAATTGAAGATAACACTAATTGCTTATTTCTGTGATCCATAATTTTTATGACTGCCTTATAGCTCTTTAGTCAAATAGATGTTTTTTGGCCTCTCAGATCTAGAACTCATGTACTGTAGTGATTGAGGCTGAAAATCTGCATGCTGGCCTGAGAGGGTTTTTTTGCCTAAGCTGATGAATAGTGTGTGTGTGAGGGGGAAATAATTGAAAAGTGTTAAAGAAAATAGAAGTCTTAAATCAGTCATAACAGGTCATAACACTGGATTTCATCAATATTTTTTAATATAAATTGGGTTCTTTCTCTCACCCTCTTGCTGCTTCGGCATTGTCTTTGCTGTGGAGTAATCAGACACTGGTTCTCAGAAATAAAACTCCCTTAAGCTTTTCAGAGTGACAGCGCTGCCTTGGTGCTGTTCCAGGCACCTTTTGTCTGCAAGAGACTGAAATATACCATTGGCATATGAGGGTAAGCAGGTCCTAGTCCTGCAGCTTCAAACTGGGGCTGGTCTTGTGAATGACCAGTTCTCTCATTACAAGGTAGCCCCACCATCTCCTAGCAGCTCCTGTGTCATTTGAGTCATTCCCTAAGGCTGCAAACCAGAAAGGCCACACTAACCATAAAGTTTTGAAGGCCACTTAAGAGAACTGACCAGATTCACAAGCCATTTGGGGTTCCCTTGGGTTCTATTGGTGCTGAGGTGGTGCAGCAGCTTTCAAAGCAGCTCCTTGTAGACCAAAGGGAGATGCTTTGATGGGTCCCCAATAGACGTGTCTCACAGTCACTATGAGGAAACTGAACTCCCTGTTAATGGGAAGGTCAGAAACTTCCCAACCTGTGCAGTGCTCTGATGTTTAGGGCACTTGCCTTATTTAAAGCAGATATGCTTCATATTTCCAGCTGGAAAGAAGAGCAGGTGAATTTGGTGGGTAGTAAACATCTCCTGACTCATTTACTAACCTACTTCTCCAACATGCAGTGCTATGGGGAGT